TTGGGTGGCGCTGTGTAGCTGTGTATTTGATGACTGGTGTTTAAAGAATGACTGGCATTTGAAGAATGGCGTCGTCTAAATCTAGACGCAGTGTGGAATTACTTCGATAAAAATTATTTTAACTTTGTCAAATGAAAGTTAGTTATCATAATAGCACCACCACAATGAGGAGTCATATGAAATCCAAACACCAAAACATCATTATTGACCAGTTTACATTTTACATCTATTAATTTTAGCTAATGCTTTTATCCAAAGCGACTTACAATTGCTATATATATATATATGTCAGAGGTCGCACGCCTCTGGAGCAACTAGGGGTTAAGTGTCTTGCTCTGAGACACATTGGTGTCTCACAGTGGATTTGAACCCAGGTCTCTCACACCAAAGGTGTGTGTCTTATCCACTGCATCATCACCACCTACACGACTGCAGGTAGGCCCAGATGTGTCCCCGACCGAGCCGAGAAGTCCACTCATCTCATAGCAAAACTTTTTTGCAAGAGGAATGCTTCCTTTAAGTTTTGTGGAAGGAGACAGACTTAAAGGAGCATTTCACCCATCACAACACAAACATCCGTGTGCTTGTCTGATTCAGAGATTTCGTCCAGGAGAAATTGCCATTGTTCAAAATTCTCTGCAGCAGACTGACTCTATCTGTGTCCGTAGGCCGTAGCACGAAGTGAGAGCACATGCACAGCAGTCCGCCTCAGCTCGAGCCAGTCCGGGCTCCTCGACCGCAGCAGCCGCCTCCTGCTCCTCCATTAGCCTCAGCTGTTCTTCGCTATATTGAGGCTCGTAAAGATAGCCACGAACATCGGATTCGAGCAGCAGACTTTCAAAATCCTCTGGAGAATCACAAAGAGTGAATGAATTCAAAAACACAGTTGCAGAATCTCTCAAGCAACAACTGAACATTGCCAACTTGGAGAACGCAGGGAAAACACTTTTGGCTACAGCCCTAGATCCTCGCACAAACACCTGGGTTCCTCAACTACGAAATTAATCTAGTATTTCGAGAACCAAGTTTAAAAAAATTCTAGAATATAGTTTAAATATTTTGAGAATAAAATCTAAATATTTAGAGAATAAACTTTGAAATATTTAGTAGAAAGCTTCTATTTTGTTTAGATCCATGTCCGAGGCAACTTGATTTCACAAACGCATTTCTTTACACACACACACACACACAACTTCTACGGAAGAATGTATTCTCATAATTTTGACTTTATTCTCAAAATATTTCTATTTTATTCTCGAAATTTTAGAAATCCTTGTCCTTGTGGGGAAATAATTTGGTCCTCATGAGGAAAACCTCTTAAGGTGGGCGTACATGGTGCGATTTTTTTTTTTTTCTGTTTTACGAGCTCGCAGATGATTTTTTTTAACTCGGGGGAAATCACGTGTAAATCGGTTATGCTCACATGTCGCGGCTCGTATCGTGTGCGAGGAAGATACGAGCCGAGCCTAGCACCTCTCGACCTCCCGATAATTTTTAAGCATGTCGAAAAAGTTCGGGAGCTGTCGGCTTGCATTCGTGAGGTGTATGCGGTTGAATTAGCCGATTTGTCGATCTATCTGAATTTGACCAATCAGGAGCTGAGGAAATCCACAGAAGAAAGACGAAAATGGTGTGGACTACTAGAAACACTGCTTCAATTAATGTTTTTATGATGACTGAAAGGTTAACTAAACAGCATCTGCCGTGTTCCTACTGGCCAGTATTTGGCATATTTCGTTCTAAACAACTGTAGGCTATGCTATTGTTTTTGATAGTGATATACATTTCTTACAGATTCTTACACATCACGATGATCATTACATTTGTATCTTCCTAATAGCAATTACAGTTTGTCTACAGCCTAAGCTTTTTTTGCCGACAGAACAATATTGCCAGATATTGCTACGAAAAAACAAGCAAAAACTAACAAAAACAAAGAAATTATATAAAAATCCAAAATAAGTTCAAAGCTTGTGTTTTGAAAATAAGATAAACATATTACGAACTACTTTAATAACTTCCTAAAGTGTGACATTAATCCAAAAAACAAGTCCAGATACTGTCACCTTTCCATTATGTGGATCTGACAACACGGGATCTGGCACCCGCGCCCTCACTCACAACGCGCTCAAGCTCACTCATGCCCCGTTCACGGCGATAGCTTCTCGCAGCAAAATGAATTGCAAACACTCACATGAGGTGGTTTAAACGGCTAATTAATCATTCAGAGAGCTTGAAATTTTATTTTTGAATGTGTAGCCTACCTCAACTACGTTTTTTTTAACTAATTCACACACACATTCACACACAAGGGTGACCGGACATCCGTTTCCCGGTGCTGAAAACGAGCCTATAGCAAAATAACCACGGCTTGTATCAATGTTTTATATGCAGTTATGAGAGTTTTTAGCGCGGAACTTCGTGCGATTTCTTCGGAATTCAGCAGGTCGTAAAATCGTGTCGTACATCACTGCCTCCGTACGTTTTTTGGATAAACTTGCTCGTAAAGTGTGCCTAAACATACAATCTTCCGACCGTCAGAATTCGTACCGTGTACGCCCGCCTTTATACTGCAAATCACACTAAGTGATGTTTTTTTGTAATGTTTTCTGTGATGGTATCATTATACCTAAAACATGAAAATTCAATGTGTGTGTGTACATAAACCTTCACAGAATTTGATACATTTTAAAGAGCCCCTATCATGGATTTTTGAAAATGACTGTTCATGTAGTGTGGAATATAGCTCTAAAGGCCCGTACACACCGGGACTAATATCAGTGCGCGTTATTCGTCAGCGTTTTTCAACGCGTTTTTTTGTGTTCACACCCAAGCGTTTTTCGCTGACGATGAGCCGAGTGAACATGCAAATTCATTCCTTGACATTAGATGGCGCTTAATCTAAAACAGAAATAATATAGAATACTATACTAGGGTGATCATATTCATGTCTCAATGTTTTATTATGACAGATAGAAAAAAAACGAATGAAATAATGATAGAAATAGCCTAATGTCTTCTGTATTAGAAAAATAAATATATAAATAATTATAAATTACTAAAAGAAATGCCTCCAAATGTAACAAAAAATAGCTCTCACAAACTTACAAAAACGAACTAACAAAATCTATTTATATCTTTAGTTTTCATCCTCTTTATCTTGTTTTTCTTCCTCATCCACCTTGTTTGCCCATCTATATTTTGCTGTAGAACTGATCTTTCCCAGCAGTTTTTGTTTGAAAACCAGGACATTTTCATCACTTAAAAACAGTCAGGACAGGACGTGGAAACAGGACATGTGTAACGCAAAGTTGAGATGTTGCCCAGAGATAAAAACATAGCAGATGTCGGATGAACAGATGCACGAGAGACGAGAGTTGTCGTATTTGCCAGCGTTTAATAAAACCACTCAAACGTCACACTCGTCCTCCTCATGATACATGGGGATCGAGCGAGAAAAAAAGAACACAAACAAACATCTGGTCACAATAGAAAAATAAAATAAAAGAAAGAATACAAAGAGTCGGCAGAGCGGTTCTCCTCTCCTCACTTGTCAAAATCTAACTGACACTACGCACACTATATGCGCAGTTCTCATCTCCACTCAGATTTCTATAAAGCACAAAGTGACCGTTTTACACATGTCCCGGGAAAACAGGACTTTTGGTCACCCTATACTATACTATTATTACAGAAATACTAATATAAATATTATCTTATAGCTCTTTATGCTCCGAGACCAGCAGCTCAACATTCATCTTGCCCATAGGTATCTTATCTCTTCTTCGCCGTATGTGTGCTCGGCAAGACCTTTTTGTCACGGCGCGTCAAACCAAAAAAACGAACCCGAGGCGTTTTTTTTAAAAATGACGCTTTTACGCGTGCCGTTTTTCGCGTCGGTGTGAACACTCACATTGTATGGAATTAATTTTGAGCCAATAAAAATGAACGCAACTTTTCAAGAAACGAATGAAAATATAAATTGAAACTGAATAAAATATCTTTGAAACTGAAAAAGAATGAACTTTGTTTTTAATAGACTACATGTTTTGCTAACTATTCCTCATATTTCGTTTACTGATCTACACTTACAAATGCGCTTCCAGAGTTTTCATTTACGCTTCTGAAGTTTTCGTTTACACTCCCTGAGTTTGCGTTCGCTGTTCTGACACAAATCTCTCGTGGGGGCGGGGCTAGTAGAAGTGTATTCTCATTGGCTACTGAGCTTTTGATTGACAGCTTCTTGACCTGGAAGTGAAGACGTCAGAGTTGTGTTTACACGTGTGGATGTGAGCGTCTGTAAGCGCAGCTTTCTATTTAATTTTAGTAATATTAAGTTATGTTTGTTTTTTAATTTTATCTGTATTTACCTTCTGCTGCGATTACTTTGTCAACAGAAGCTTTTAGGTTCACAAGAGATCAGTCTATTCAGGTGTAATTGTACATCAAAGTACGCCCACTGTATGTGACTACTTAAAATATTTTGTCCAATGTTTTAGGAGAATATTTGTTTATTCTTGATGATTCGTTTGCATGTTAGGCTCTGAATAGGTTGTGCTATTACAATATAAAGAGAATAGCCTACTAGTATACGTGTGTGATATATTCAGCAGTCAAGAAAGTTTCACTTCAACCAGGTAATCAAGGTTGGCAACCATGGCCATCAAATTTTTGGCCTTTTGTTACTTTTGTCATTGTTACCATATGCATTTACACCATCAAATGATCATGTATGATCACTTAAATAAGAGGAATTTAAACTATATGAAAATTACAATCGTGGGTTGCTGTCAGATGATACAGACCTCAAAGGGCATTTCATTACATATTTCACACAAAGAATATTTTTGTTGGTATTTTTTTAATCATGCTGATAATTTTATTTATTTCATTTTGTTAATATTATTTTCTAACCTTTAAAATGGTAAATATATTTGAACAATCATCAACAGGTTCAATTATGACTTATAAAATCAGTTAAATGAATTTAAATAAAAAAATCTAATAAATTTATTCATTCTTTATTGTCACTACAGCATATACACAAGTACCAAAGTGAAAGTCTTGGATGCAGTTATGACAGGAAAGACCAGAATCCACAAAACATTAACTGCATACTATACATGTAATGCACAGTATTCTCATAATATAGATAATAAAATGTATAATCTCACAAAGATTTTTAATGAAATAATACATCTCTGTGAGTCCACATAACACAAGTGGATTGTACCCATGTATGGCAGTTGGTCGGAAATGATTTTTAATAGTTAAAACAGTTTACATTATTAGTATTTTTTTTTTTTTATTCTATTGTTTCACTTCAGTATTGATTCATCCACTGAGGTCACATGGACATCACGGTCACTGTGTGTGGTTTTTAAAGCATCTTTAGGGCTTGCAGAGATGGATTACTTTCCTTAAAATCTTAATTCGTATTTATCTGTAGAAAGAAAGTAAAATGCATCTGGGACAGCATAAGGGTGAGTATAATAAGTGAGAATTTTATTTTTGGATGAACTATTCCATTCATATGCTGTTGGTATGCTAATCCATGATCAGCAGAGACTAATAAGAATAAACTGCAACCTCTTGTGTACTGTGTTTGTTTTAATCTAGAGCTCCAAAGAAATTAAAATATTTGCTATTTTATAATATTAAAATAAAATACAACAGGTGTCTGAAGATAAGGATCCCAGTCATTCAAAGGTGATATGTCTGAACAAAGTAACATTATTGTCTGATGGAGACAGCTGATCTCTGGTATTATCACTCCATCCTCTGTGTCAGCATCAGAATTTTGTTTGTGGAAAAGTTGCTCAAATCCCTGGAAAATGAGAAAGGAAATATATTATAATCTAACAATACAAACTGCTTTGAACTCCCACATGCAGTAACCATTTGCAGACTTAAAATAATTATTTCAAACAAATTATATAAATGTTTTAAGGGATTTTACAGTACCAAATGTTTACCTGACTCACACACCATTTATCATCTGTAATACTATTGTATAACCAGTAGATGGCTCTATAGCCCAATAAACATTTATCCATGGCTGTGTAGCGTCTACTCCCTAGTTGCTGGATTTTTTCAGTCATAATTACTTGCATGTATTAGGTTTTGAATTTGGATATATATATATATATATATATATATATATATATATATATATATATATATATAAATTATTAAAGACTATTAAAAATTCAACATTTTTCTCCAAAATGTTGTTTTTTTTTAACATAATTATTACTAAAATATGGATACAGAAAAAGCATTTTGTTGCCTTTTGCAGAATAAATATTGCGCCCAGGGTTATACTTGGGAACAAATGAGTGTTTACATATTATGAATGGAGACGTGGAAAATGGTCAAGTACTCTCTCTCTTCTTTTAAAAACTCTGCATCACAAATTAATCAGCAATTGGCTTTACATTGCCAAAGTTGAACCGGGCAGTGATTGTCAGGGCTCTGGTCCAATGGCATCGGTCATTGTCTGATACAGTACATTTTGTACTGTAGGCTACAGATACTGTACAGTACTCTAGCACAATGTTGTTTGGGGTGGCAGAGGGGAAATATGATCTAATTGAAGCAAATATGATCAAATCGAAGACTGTAACCGTATGTAACGTTAGATAAACAAGACATGTAATGATTGGGCTAACAACTTACCAATTAAATCAAGACAACACTGCTGTATAATGTTATGGGCTCTCACTTAGCTCTAATATGCCTCTCCACCTGAAAAAGCAAGAACTGTATTATAATTAGTATTAGTTTAGTATTAATTAATAAAAAAAATAAAAACAATCAGACTTACCACGAGTAGCCTATGCTATCCAGTATTCTGATATCGACGATGACAAATTATATCATTTGTCTGTACTATTCCTTCTATAAGAAATCATATCAACAATATAGTGTAGCAGTAAATAAATAAACAAATAAACTTAATATCACCTAAATGAAATAGAAAGCTACGCTTACAGACGCTCACATCCAAACGTGTAAACACAACACTCACTGACGTCTTCACTTCCAGGTCAAGAAGCTGTCAATCAAAAACACAGTAGCCAATGAGAATACACTTCTACTAGCCCCGCCCCCACGAGAGATTTGTGTCAGAACAGCGAACGCAAACTCAGGGAGTGTAAACGAAAACTTCAGAAGCGTAAATGAAAACTCTGGAAGCGCATTTTGTAAGTGTAGATCAGTAAACGAAATATGAGGAATAGTTAGCAAAACATGTAGTGTATTAAAAACAAAGTTAATTCTTTTTCAGTTTCAAAGATATTTTATTCAGTTTCAATTTATATTTTCATTCGTTTCTTGAAAAGTTACGTTCATTTTTATTGGCTCAAAATTAATTCGATAACATTGGCGCCCATTGTTTAGTCACGAGGCGTTAAACGTCGACGAATAACGCGTGCGAAATTCGTCCCGGTGTGAACAGGCCTTAAGGGAATGAAAACATCCTGCAAAGATTTATATCTGAAAGTGCACCATATATAAAGTTATTGTCTTTTAAAAGTGAGAGTCTCTGACTCTGAGTCTATGAAATAAATTGTTTTGAAACGAGTCATTAGCTGTTTCGTAGTGACGTAGATACAAAACATAAGCATATTGTGTTTATGTTCTCTCTCGATTATATTCTCACCATTTTAATGACGAATCATTCAAAAACCTAAATGAATTCAAATGTGGATTCGCAAGCTGGTTGTTCCTGAAGAAGGTCTCAGTACCCCCACAGTGTATATGGATCAGCTTCCTCCGAAGAATCACAACATGTAAGTATTATTAATAATTGTTGCTTTTATGGGTTTTGTAGCGTCGGTGCGCGAGGAGGGAAGGCGCAATAAGCGTGTGTGTGTGTGTGTGTGTGTAAGTTACGCTCAGCGCAGCTTCTAGGTCTCCAATGTCATTTTTTTTTTAAATATTTGAAATGTTTATCGCTATTATTGGAGTTGTAATAAAGAATGGAGTGTCTTGTAGTACTGCAGTGTTTTATCAATATGTTTATGCGCTTGGCTAACAAACAATAACTGACTGGGTCATCTGACCAATCACCACCGATTAGCGTCGTGCAAAGGAGATGTTTGGAAAAATCAGTCATTGTACGAATCATTTGGGAGTCGGTGAGCAAATCAGGTAAAAAGAAATAAAAAGGTAAATGCCATAATAGGTGCTCTTTAATAAATTCTGTATTCATGTCAACCAGCCGGAATTGGGATTAAGAATTGACAGCTGCTTTATACCTGAACCCTAGTAAATCATCAACTGGTATATTGAACTTACATTTACTATAGAACAAACTACCATAATGCCAAATCTATCTTATACTTTTTATGAATGAAAATATGAATGAAAATGTATAGCATTATGATAATTTGGTCTAAAGTCAAAGTAAGTTTTGGGAATTGGGAATAATATGAGGCCAAAATTAAATGACTACAAAATGTACAAATTTTTTTCTTTTTTGTAAGTATCTCTTGTAAGTCTTGTAAGTTTCATTTTCAACCCCCAATAACAGGAATAAAATGAAATCATACAAAAAGGTTCAACATTTCCATGTTAGTTAGTATGTGTGTATGTTTCTGAATAAATACGACAGCCAAATTCACTAGAATGTTGACAGTGAACTCCAGATGTGAAAAACTGCGCATTTAGTGAAGGCACTTACCAAACAGGATGTACAAACATCATTCATACTGAGACAAAAAGTAGGGTTTTGTGGTCTCTTTGTGAGATAGACAGTACGCCAGTAGAAGCAGATCTGAAGTGCATATCAGCAGGGTCTTTTTTACTCTCATTTTTTTTGTTCATCTGTTTGAGCGTCGCTCCATGACTTACAGGATATCAAGGTGGATGTTCGTATCTATTGATTTACTAACAAGCGTGACCACACTGAAAGTACCTTGTGGGCTTGGTGTGGTAGTGTCAAATTATCCCACAGCATTGACAGGAAGTAAGTGTTTCTCATAGATGACAAAGCTCTTCATGTCTCTTACTGTAGGTGCAGAATACAGCTGACAATTGGACCAGTAAGCACTGAGGATTTAGGTTTAGTATCAATACAGTGATTGACATGTAAGCATTCTGATGAAAAGTAAATTAACATGATACACAATGAGGTACTCTAGAAGCAAGTCAAGCATTTATTTTTTTTTCTTATTAACAGAAAACATTTTGAGATCACATGATGAGGTTTATCCATGAAGCCTGTTGATGGACTTTACAGATTTAGAGAAACTTATGGATTTGCATGGTAAGAAGTTTACAAAATCCAAAAGAGCAACTGTATAGTCCATCTTATTTTGAAATTTGTCTTCAGTGGTGCAATTTATTTTTAGACAGAGCTCAACTCTGATTATGAAAGAAAAAGGTTTCTCTACTTTCTCTACAGAACAGAAGGCTCAGCGATAATTTAAAAGAGCTTTTACTGTGTTTCAGAATAAACTACAATTTCTGCTAGATTTTATGTGCGACACTACGTCAGATTTATAGAGCAGATTGCCGTTCTGAATGATTTTATTAGTGACAAAATTACGGGGCTTGAAAATTTGACAAAGTCATAAAAAACATTCAGAGCTTAAGTCCTGGAAGCCCATCCCTAGCTTTGCCCATTGTACCACCCCTGCACTATGATGCGTCCAGACTACATATTTCTTAAATCAATTCTGGTATTTTGCAGTTTAAAAACCACACTATAGGCCATATCAACATTTAGTTTTTTTTTCCCCCATTTTTTTTCTTTTTTTTTTTTTCTGTAGCCCTTTTGGGAATCTAACTGTGAACAGAATAATTTACTTAGGAGGCCAACCTTTTGTGTCTAGACCTTTTTAGCAGTAGCTGAGTTAATTTAATGTCAAAGACCAGTGTACTTAACCTTCAAACACATAAATGAAACTGTTTGGGGGTTGATGCTTAGTTTAGATGAGGAGAACAGGAAGCCAGAGATAAGTCCTGGCAGACGTTCACATTGACCTTGTTTGAGCAGGCGGCAGTAATTAAGACGCTAGCTGGAAACCTGACTCCAGTGTGACGCAGCCTGAGGCTCGCTGCAGAAGTGGAGGTCGGAAAAAGAAACGAGATCCTCGTCGGCTCAGTGGCTGCACTCGATAGTGCTGCCAAGGCCGAGGTTAGCCCACTAATTCGTCCAAATGTGCGCCCTTATTCATGGTATCTTTATACATGCAGACACACTCACATAAACACACATACCAATGTTCCCACAGACCAGAGAGGAGAGGAGAGTTATGAGGGCTTTGGTTTTCCTGGGACAGAGGAGAGTTGAGTATGATGTCGGCCGTTGATCTGTTGAGTTCCTGTGGCGGAATATTAAAGGTACAGCAATGCAGTTGAATTCAGTGCAGCTGTAACATAGCATTGAACCTTTTCTCCTTTGGATTCTGAGATTGTAAACACGCTAGCATGCAGAAAACTATATAACAATGGTATTTGACACATTTATCTTGTGTGATTTGTGGTTTGTTCACAAAGAAATAGGTAATTATGTACCTATCAGGATTAGCTCATTTAAATTATGTTTGGCTGAGGCTGGATAATCCCTAATACCTCCTTAAGTAAAGCATTATCAGCTTTAGCTCTTTTCAATGAATCTCTCTCAATACCCTGCTGGATACATTTTTCTCTCTTCTTTCAAGGCCCCTTATTCTCTTGTACAATACAAAATGTAAAAATATATGTCCAAAAAAGGTAATTAATTAACCCTAATGTATAAAATATTTTTTTTTGTCATGCTCTCTTTCCAACAGCAACCATTTGAGTAGGTCTGGGCCACTGGAGTGGGAAGAACACAGGAGAGATATTAAAATGACATTATACAGTTGGAATAAGCCAGTTATATAATACATTTTTGATGTTGACATTTTGATTTTTGTATCATGATTATGTAATGCTGTTACATGTATTCGGGTACTCCCCAACCCTGACCATATCAGCCATAGAACAGACAATTGCAGAGGCTGTTTGGTGGCATGGAGGGCCTTTTTTGTGGTCAATTTCTATAAATATATATTTTATATGTTTTTGTTGTTGTTTTTTGGCCTAACACAGCAACAGAGCAAGTAATAACTTCAAGCAGGTCCTTATATGCACGAGAGAGATAACTGCTCAGAAGCAAACTGGCCATTGCAGACTGCCACACAGTTCCTCAGAACCATAGGTGGCTAATAATTAACCCTTGTCTCGCTAAGCGAGCTTCTGAAACCAAATGAGATCTGTAGAGTCTTAAGTCTGAAGAATAAATGAGAGAAAGGGGGGTTACCTGTCCCAGGTTCAAGATAGGCTGAATATGGTATATTCAACATACTGTACATATTAACTCAACAGAGACAGATCACAATTTTAATATTTAACTCCCAGAGGTAAATGCAATTATAAAATCAACTGGACAAATATTACACTGTCGGAATGATAGACTGATTTTTTTATAAATATAACCAGTATCCAATTATTCAAGAGTTAGAAAACATCAGAAAATATCACATGTATACCGGAAGATTCAAGCAAGCTTTTCGGATAACATGAGATCATCTTGCGCAAACCTTATTTATTATCTGTTAGTACTTAGTAGTAGCCTGGGAAAACCCAGACGAACTTCCGGAAAATTTAGATTTGGACTTTAAGTCAGTCTGGCCAAGAGCCCATTCAAGCCCATTTCCAATCTTTCCAAATTGAGGCACCAAACACAAACATTGAGGCGGGCTTTACATGATGACGATCGATCTGATCCAATTGCGCCCAGAGGCATTTGAGCGACATCCGTTGGTGACGCCCCTTTGGAAATGAGCTGTGAATGAACCTTACCCAGACCCACTCTCAGTTTCGACTGAGAAGGGTCTGGTGTCAACCAGGTTAACGTAGTAGATGAGAAAGGACATGTAGTCTAAACCAGGGGTTCTCAACTCCAGTC